ATTGTAATTACAATCTTACTGCCCTTGGAAATCACCCCACCTATCACAGTAAGCTCATGTTTGCAGTTTCAATACTCTCTTATACTTGGACAGCAACTGCTTATTTCTTCAGGCCACGGTTTAATTATCACTTCTTGAAGGATTCCCAATGATTCATTTTGCTCCGTTTCCTCTCTTATTTGTTGCAGTTTCCTGTTAGCTGTGGGAATTGACTTTACAATCAAATCTACATAGGCTTGCAGCTCTGTCTCTAAAGTGTTCTCTGGTTTCTCCCTTTGTCTCTGCTTTCAGTTGCAAACACAGGAGTTAACTTCAAAATAACTGCAGTTTCCTTCTCATTCAGCATTTCTGACACGATCTTGAAGTTCATCAAATTGCAAACCAGTGAATGAGAAAGATATTAAAACTTTAATAAAACAAACGGGACAGCAATTGTGGTGAACTTCTTCACACAGCTCTGCGGAGTTCCCAAACCCCACCCCCACTGCCTCCAGAGCACATCTCCAAATTCCTATGTCCATAATACTGTCCATTATGAGGGAGCGTCTCTAAAGTATAATATTCTACAAACATATCTCTACAAGTGTGGTGTTTGTTTTGAAGGAGAAATAGCTGGGTGCTGTGTTCATAATTAGCTTGGGTATCAGGAGAGTGGAACATAATGAAATAAAAGGGGAAGACTATTTTAAACATCTTGATTACTGTGATTAAGGCCTTGAAGGTGTCCATATATCCTGACTATAATCCCTCCTAGGCTTTTGGTTGCCATTAGATGCGGTGACACCCTACACCCCCATGTTCATCTTTATAAAATGATTGTGTGGTATCCAATGCAAAGTTTGTCATGGTGGGTGTCTTTGGAAGGCTCATGATGCACTGAGCATGGTTGTTATAGTGATGTTATAGTAATTGTTACAGTAAGGTTATAGTAATGTTATAGGTTATAATTTCATGTATATAGTTATGAGGCTGAAAATGTATCCTCATGGCTTAAGGCAAGCTCAGACAAAAACTCTCCAAGAGCAGAGAGGCAGTTCACACCTCATCAGGGCAGGTATGAGACAAACCCAGCTCAGCCTCACAAGAACAAAAGGCACTGGCCTAGGCCGCAACAAAAGAATCTGTTAGACTCTCAGGGAGTCACCCTCCTTCCTTTGGTCAGTTTGGAACTGCGATGAGGTAATGCTCACCTGACTCTGAAGGGTGGCGGGGGAGGAGTGGGAAGCCAAGAGGGAAGAATGGACATGATAAAAGGGAGAGACATTTGCCATGCTCTCTCTCTCTCTTCCACCTACATCTACGGACACCGCACCATGCAACTGAAGCGCTGATCAAAGGGGAGAGCTTGGCTGAAGAGCAACCAGCCAGCCTGTGGTGAGAAGCATCTAAGTTTGTAAGGACACTGAAAGTGTTAAGATCAGCTTAGAATGCGTTGTAATTTTATTTCATTTGACCAAATCTAACTTGTTATGTTTTGACTTATAATCACTTAAAATCTATCTTTATAGTTAATAAATCTGTTTGTTTATTCTACCTGAAGCAGTGTGTTTGGTTTATAGCGTATCAGAGACTCTCCTTGCCATAACAAGCCTGGTACATAACAATTTCTTTGTTAAATTGACAAACTCATATAAGCTTGTAGCGTCCAGTGGGCATAGCTGGACACTGCAAGAAGGAGGTTCCTAGATTTGTGTCTGGGACCGGAGATATTGGCTAGTGTCATTCGGTTGCACAATCCAAGGAGCAGCTTACATGCCGGAGGCTGTGCATGAACAGCCCAGGAGTGGGGATTCTCACAGCAGAGCAAGGTAAGGCTGGCTCCCAGAGTCAAGGATTGGAGTGACCTAGCAGATCACTGGTCCGGATAACACCAGAGGGGAATGTCACAGATGCCCAGATCCTACACCCAATAGTTTGGTATTTTTCATAACACTTTAGTTTGTGGTGTTAAGTTTGCAATGTCTACTCAGATGCAATAAGAACTCTTTCTTCAATATTCTGTGTTGCTTAATCCTTGGTGTTAGAGTCTGATTTCAGATGTCATGTTTAAAAAGTGCTCTGGAACATCCTCTTAAGGAATCCCAAGGAAAACAGTTGTTCTCTGGGTGAATGTCAAATTTCTTCGAGATCTCTTGGGACAATGAAAGGTTCCATTATTGGAGAAGTCCTGCAGGCATAGAATTCCTCTTCATGCCTCTATTAATATTGACAGTATATCCTCACCTCGTGTACTGTGTTTGAATTCTTCATCATCAAAAAGAGAGCAGCAACATAAATGTAACAGAGAAGGACAGCAGGACTGATTAGATGCATCGAAGTGGTGATTGGAAGGTAAGGTCTCACATGAGTAGATATTAAAAGGACTCAGACTATTAATTTTGGAAGAAGAGTAAGATAGATAGGATGAAGGCCATACAGGTGCCCTTTTTCCCCCTTCACATTTGTAAGAAGATGGGGACATTTGGATTACTGGACTCTACTCTCCTGACACCAGCACCTTAATCTTAACCAGAGATTGCCAGAGTTAAGGGGAGAAACTTCTAAAGGAAACTTCCTTATAAGAGCTCTTCATCAAGCCCCCAGTTCCTTGTACTATTTCAAAAGCTAGAGACAGATTCTAGGAGACCCAGACATAAGCCCATGTGTCTCTTCTTTTAAAGTTGGAGCCTCTACTACTACTGTAATATACATGATAATGAATATGAGGCTGCAAAGCAGGGGAAATGTTCTGCCCCTATTTGTTGGTTAAAGAATCATAAGAAAAGAATCAGTCCTGAGGCTCCGAGCACTAGGACTATTCAGAAGCCTGAGATAAATCCCTTTCGTATTCTTCAGAGGTTTTTCCTCGCTTAGACAACACAATGAGACTGGGAATGCTATGATAGCACCAGCTGGTTTATCTCAGTCTTATTCCACTTCTCCCCTCCAAAACCCTTGCAGCAGGCTAGCAATGAGCGTACATACTCAGGGGGACCAGGCAAGCTTGGACAGCATGCGCTGAAGCCCACGCCGCTGGATCTTCACTGCTATTTTTACCTGTGCTAACTAAATTAAAGCTTGTGCAGGTATGCCTACATTGCTGCAATCAAATCTCCAATGGCAGTAGACATAGACATATCCATAGAGTCAGCTGGCAAACAAACACTGGGTGACTGCAGAGAAGGAGTCTTAGGCCTGGATCTGAGAGCAGCTGCAGCACATTCACTCCAGTCTTTCAGGCTGACAGGTTTATCCCTTGGGAGGAGAAGCCCTGCCCAGCACATGGGCTACAAGGACAGAGACTCGGTGACCAATAAGACCAGGACGCCTAGGTACAAGATCCCACAGCAGTCAGGTATCAGTCACCCACACAAAGGGGAGGAGAGACCATTAATCTGGGGCACAGACTGGAGAGGCAATTTGGAGAGTGTATCAGTTGAGTTAGAGCTTTCCTGCTGGTTGGGTGTCTGGGGTTTGTTACTTTAGGCTCCCATGGGTCTCCTTTGAAGCAATTTACCAGTGATGGCCCCTTTAATGGTTGTTGTGAGTATGTCCCTACCCACTAGGTAGCTGGCAACAGTGCTAGAGTCAATCTGCCTGTTGAAATCATTACTGGGGGAATTCCTGCCCCCAAAGGCTGGAGAAGGGGTCTCCCCTTTGGCAAATATGGTGGGAATTAGAGACAACCTGGCAAACAGGAGTGCCCCCACCACAAGTACTATCACAAACAGGATTTGGGTTGCTCAGGGCAGAACCCATGGGATGATGGATACAGGTGGGCTGATTTACATAAGTGGCCAGGAGTGGCTCTGCAGTGGCCTGCCTCAGCTTCCCCTCTTGGTTCCTCAATAACAGCTCTTCCTGGGGTCTGATTTTAATAACATAAAGTTCAAAATAAACACAAGCAGTCTTTCATCCAACCTTAACCGGGTCACTGCCCCTCCTCCCTGAGATACTGCCCTTCCTCTGGTCTCCGAGAATCTGGAGAAGAAACAAGTCCTGGCCCACCTTCTTTGCCTTCGCTCCTT